AATCATATATTTGTAATCTATCTATTTACAATGCCTCTGGTATGAAGAAAAAAAGAGAAAAGTTATGGTGAAATACCAATAGTTCAATTTTGTAGGCATTTTATTATCCATAAAATGTCTGCTGCCTCGAAGGACTTTGGGCCTCCATGCAAGTACTCCCTCAATGCAAGAACACTTTGTTCTATTAAACTGGCATTCCATGATGCTCACCTTCCCTACACGATCGCTGAAGACAAAGCGGGTACCTAAGCAAATGTGGTCAAGAAAGCTGATGATAAACAAGTGGCCATCTAGCTAAGAAGCAACAAAGCCCACATGGAAGAAGCAGACCAGCCTGTGTTATCATGAGGTATCAATGGGATCATGTATCAGACACCAAAGAACCAAAAAATCATATCATTGTGAATGAGGGGGAGTGTGGAGTGGGGACCCAGAGCCCATCTGTGGGCAACTGGACATCCCCTTACAGAAGGGCCATGGGGAGGAGATGAACCAGTCAGGGTTCAGTGTAGCAACAATGACACATAAAACTTTCCTCTAGTTCTTTATTGCTCCCCCACCCCAGTATCATGATCCCAATTCTACCTTACAAATCTGGCTAGACCAGAGGATGTACACTGGTACAGATAGGAACTGGAAACACAGGGAAGTCAGGACAGATGATCCCTTCAAGACCAGTGATGAGAGTGGAGATACCTGGAGGGTGGAGGGAAGGTCGGGTAGAAAGGGGTAACCAATTAAAAGGATCTACGTATAGCCTCCTGCTTGGGGGGATGGACAACAGAAAAGTGGATGAAGGGAGACATCGGACAGTGTAAGACATGACAAAATAATAATAATTTATAAATTATCAAGGATTTATGGGGGTGGGGCAAGGAGGGAGGGGAAAAATGAGGAGCTGATATTAAGGGCTCAAGTAGAAAGCAAATGTTTTGGGAATGATGATGGCAACAAATGTACAAATGTGCTTGACACAATAGATGGATATATGGATTGTGTTAGGAGTTGTACGAGCCTCCAATAGAATGATTAAAAAAACGTTAATTTTTAAAAATCCCAAACAATAAAAAGCCAAACAACAACTCCCCCCGCCCCCCGCCAAAATGTCTGCTACCTCAAACTCTTTGACCTCTCACTCATAGTATAGTATAAAAATATTTTCAAAAGGGATGAAACAATGATATCTGTTCATCTTCTCACTGGGCTTTATTAAATCAGTGCTCCTTTCTTCCTCAGGTTAGAGCAAGCTTATGCATACTGCAGAGGGTCTACCCAATGTGTATACTCTGGAATTATTACCTGTTTGTAACCTATGGTTGCAGTTATAAATATTAAATAACTAGGTCCGATGTCAAAGTGCTCTTTTATTCCCCTCAGCGAATGGCTGTTTGTTGAAAGTAATTAAGATACTCTATCCTAGTAAGCCATTTATTTTTCATCTAGAATATTCAGCTCCTATGGGACAGATTTTGTTCTGAAAAGTCTAAAAATATTCTTTTTCATGGCAGAAATGCTAAGCCAAAACTCAACTGCTATTGAGAAATGACAAAAAAATACCTCTTCATATGCTAAATACATTATAAATAACTTTGGTACACAAATAATGTGAATTTTTAAAATGGAAAATATTTGTGACTAATGTTTATTGAGAGAAGCCTTCTTTATTTTTATTGAGAGAAGCCTTCTTTATTTTTTTTTTCCTTTTGTAAAGAGAGTGACAGTATTAAACATCACTTTTCCACATATAGAGTGTGACATTTTAATTTTGTTCCAAGTGATTTTTCTTTCTGTGTGACACTAGAGTTAGTAGACATGCCTTAATATTTAGTAATTACATAATGGTGATTTCATGGTTCGAGGTTAGGATAAAAGGTGGCTAGACAGAGCAGAAAAATCAATTTATTTTTCACTTTTGTTGGAAGACGAGAAGACAAAGAATACACAATAAGCATTTAGACCACATTAGAATTATGCCTCAACAATCGGTTACACATGAAGTTGAACCGCGCGCAACAGTGCTACATGTGGTGCTGTTGGTATTCAGCCGAAGAGTTACGTTCCAAATGATCTTGTTCTACCTCGTCCTTGTTTTGTTAACACAGAAAGAGTGTCGGACGCTTCTCTTGGCATCTCTAGACAAAGGTACTAAAAGGCAAGACCGCCCTTAGGCAAAATCATGGTATAGGTAAAATACATTAATTCCCTAACCTTTTTCAGTGAAAATTCTCACCTTAGATTCTCTCTACCTCCTGTCTCAAAGTTAGAGCCTCTGTTTTCCAGGGGACTCATACTATTTCCTGTGGCCCAAACCCCCTTTGATAATTTACCCACTCTATTTCAACTGCTTACTGAATCACCAATCAAGATCGTCTATCCTGACCTTTGGATCTTATTTTTCATTGCACATGTTCTATTACATGTTCACCCTTGCCTTTTTCATTTAGATACATGTTCCCATGCTGTTCCATTTGCCTAAACTCACCTTGACTTCTCATCTGTATCTGTGGTAATCCTATTTATTTGATCAAAGGCCTGTTCAGCTGAGCCTCCTCCATTGGCCTTTCATGATCACCCCCAGGCTTTTTTCTCCACATCTCATGCATATCACTCATATGACACTTACTACATATTGCTTTGTCTTATCATTATTTAGTTATTTCTGTATATGCCTAATCTCTAGTCACTGTGCTGGGTGCTTTATAGACACATATTTCACAACAAACCAATTAGGAAGGTATTGTTGTTTCATTTAACAGCTGAGGAAACTGATGCTCAAATGGGCTAAATATATCTATCTGATACATATTTAGCTGAAAGGCATCATTTGTTTGAGGCCATCCTTCTAGAAGTAACTGAACTAGGACTTTAAGTCAGGCCTGTCTGACTCTAAAACATACATTTTTTTTCATTCTGTGTGTTGCCACCTACTTCTGAGGGCCTATCCATCAAAGGAGGTGGAATGGGCCGAAGATAAAAGAAGATATCAGCTTTGGTTTTTATGATTATCAAATATGTATTCAACAAAGAGCTAGGTTTTACTGATGATCACTGTATATTCCAAACTACAAGTCATAGATGAACTACATTCCAGGCGGGATTAAGATACAATGTGATGGGAAAAAACCTTTTACCTCAAGGCACCCAAACAATTCTGGCATAAGAAGTGACTATTTAAAACAAAGTCTAGTTCAAGAAGGGCTAGATACCTTAGGCTTCTGAGCACTACTGGAAAATAGACACTAGGAAAAGAAGCATCCGCTGAAAAGTTTTATGTCATTATCTCATGATTCCAACAAAGAAGAGTAGCTTAGGGCCTGAGGAGGTGACTATCATGTTTAATCTCTTATGATCTAACAGTATCTTTGCCCACCTCAGCATACTTAGGGAAATAATACATGTGAATTTAAACTTGAATGTGGTCAGCTGCACACTAGCCTTCAGGCCCTATGTTAAGAAGACGACTCATTCGTATTTCAGTTCTATGCTGGGTTTGAGTAACTCACCAGAGACAATAGCAAAACCTCCTTTCTCCGTACCGAGCTGCTCAACGTGGAACACTATTTACTTTTCATGGAAATTGTTTTTCATGGTATTTCTTTTCCTCTACAAATGCCCTCAAAATTAAACCTGCATTTCCTCTCAAAGAATTTTAGTTTTATAGGACATTGCAAATAAAAATAATAATAATAATAAGCACAGGGAGAGTATATGCAATGCTTCATGCCATTTCCTCCAGTGGTAGCATCTTGCATTACACTCTCAAAGCCAGAAAATTCACATTGGTCGAATTCACTTTTAAATTCCAAGAATAAATGGACCCTGAGAAACAATGTAGCCTGCTTTAAATATCGTTCTACACTCCATTCCTGCTCATGAATGATGACCATGCTGACAATCTGCAAAATAAGAGGGTGGCATGTCCAGACGGTCACATAGACCAATGTCCTCATCGAGGAATGAAAAGAAGCTCACGGGAAGGTTTGGATTGGAATTCAATTCTGCCTCCATCTGACCTTAGGCGAGTCCCTTGACTTCTCCAAGCGTTAGCATTTTCGTCTATTTAAAAGGAGGGATTGTTTCACCTGCCTATTTCATAGGGTTGTTTTGAGGATAATTATCGCCTGTGAATTAGTATTCATAAAGTGTTTATTTTTTTCTGAAACCACTACCACATGACAGAAGTGTGGTTTTTCAGTGACGTTGTTATTCTCAGACACAAATAAAACAATCTCCTTATTAACTCAATGGCCTTGAATGTCTATCATGTATAAATGGCCTTCACATTCCACCTCTCTTAGTAGGATAACCTCACTCACTGCCAAGTCAATGTCAACTCATAGCAGCCCTGTAGGACAGGGCAGAACTGCCACTGTGAATTTCCGAGACTGTAACTCTTGATGAGAGTAGAAAATCCCGTCTTTCTCCTGAGGGGCTGATGATGATTTCGATCACAGTCCAACATGTAACAACTACAGCAGTAGGGCTCCTCTCTGAGTAAGGTAGCCAATGGTTATAGCTTGGAAAATCACTCTATGACTCATCACTTATATACGTTGAGGCACATGTTCTATTTTAAAGTAAGTGGTTTTTTTTTAACATTTTCTTCTAATGGATGAAATACATTTCAGGTAGCCTTTGCTTTTATCCTTACTGCAATATCCATTATTACTTTTTAAAAATATATATATGATGGATTATACAATAAGTGTTTTGGGCAATAGTGAGAAATTATAAGGGTACTATATTAGACAGCAGATACTTTATGAAGGAGGAATAATGGCACCATCCAAGCTACATTGCTCATTTGCCTGGATATATAATATAAATTCCAAAAATATTTAGTAAATATGTCAGTCGTGGCAGTAAGAGTAGGTAATATATAGGATAAAATGAACTTAATTCATTGTATGTAGAGATAAAATTCTTTGTATGTACTGAATGGTTTGGATACCACCATAAAAATATAAGATCTGTTTTTTTCCTCTCCTCACTACACACAGGCTGGGATGGCTCTGACCTATGACCCCACAGCCGCCATACAGAATGGGTAAGTAGACCACATCGTATGTATTCTAACTTATATCTTGGTTATCTTAATACTGCAGAAATTTTCAAATTTGTCTTTAAACAAAAATTATAAACCAAACATTTCTCACCATTGTATTTTTCTCTTTTCTCATAACTGACTGCATACATAGCACCTCTCATTCTTACACACTTCAGTTCGCCTTTCTCTGTGCATCTCTGTTCTGTGCCTGTTTTTTCTCATTCTTGCTCACAGTTGCTCTCTCTATTTCTTTCACTCTCTCTGAGAAAGAGTAAGGAATAGGTTTTTGAGAGAGAACAAAGATACAGCTGGCCTAAAAGAATTATCTATAGTTCTCTAGGGCAAGTGGCCTACCCTTGCTAATAATTCTATTGTCTAACTTTCAGTAATTTTTAGAATGTGCTTTGGTTAATTTCTACATCCATCAATTATTATTATTATTTTACTTTTTAATTCCGGAGATCAAAGGAAGGCTAATCCAAGTCAAGTTAGTAATTTAGTTGATTGTATCTTAATTGTTTGAAAATCAAGAAATCTATGTCCCTTACTTAGAACAAGTCACATACCCTTAAATTTGAAAAATAGGATGATTAGACTATAACACATGGCATACATTAAGGTCTTGATATCTTTGGTTGAATCTTTCTTCCTACTTGCCAATCATTTTGCATTGCTTTGTGTACCTGGCCAAAGAGAGAATCAGACTTTAGATAATTGGTCATTTTTATTTTTTCTAGTCTTTAATCTTAGATCTACCTGTGGCTTTCAGTTGACTGTCTGAAAGTCTTACTAAAGGATTGGACAACATGCAGGCCTTATTGAAGACGTCATCAAAAGGAGTAGAAGGCATATAACTATTTTAGGTTTTGGTGCTGTCATTTAATAAAAATCTGTGAGATACTGAAAATGTTTCCACAATGTCACGTACTTTTGTACTACCACCACTAGTCTGTCTGTTTGTCACACTATTGTTTGCTCTGTGTTGCTGGAATGCGAGGCATTGTGTCACTGGTATTTCAAATACCAAGAGGGGCATCTCTGGTGATCAGGTTTCAGTGGAGCCTCCAGACTAAGAAAGAAATGGTGGACTACTACTCAATAATGGATGACAAACATCTCATCAGTGTCAATGGAACGGTAGTTGACATAGTACCAGAAGATGAGCCCCTCTGGTTGAAAGATACTGAAAATGAGGCTGGACAAGAGATGCCTTCTCAAAGTAGGATCAACCTGCAGGCCACGGACAGAATAAAGCTTTGAGTACTTTCGTATGAGAATAAACAGCTGTAAGCATCCACTAATAATTGGAATATGAAATGTACAAAGTATAAATCTAGGAAAATTGGAAATTGTAGAAAATGAAATGCAACACATAAAATTCATATCCTAGGAGCAATAGCTCAAACAGACTGGTACTGGCCATTTTTAATCATATGATCCATGTCTAAAAGGAGCTGAAGAGGAATGGTATCACGTTTATGGTTAAAACAAGCAATAGAAGAACTATTCTGTAGTAAAATATTGTCAGTGATAAAGTAATACCCATATGCCAGAAGGAAGACCAGTTAATACAACTAGTATTCTAATTTTCTCTCCAACCATTAATGCAAAGAGGAGGAAATTGAATATTTTTAGAACTTCTGCAGTCTAAACTTGATCAACCATGTCATCTGGATTCATTGATAATTGCTGTGATCAGAATGGCAAGAACAAAAAAGGATCCACTGAAACCAAATTCACCGCCATGAAGTCAATGCTGACTCATAGACCCCCGCTGTGGGTTTCCAGGGCTGTAGCTGTTTACAGGAGTAGAAAGCCCAGTCTTTCTCTCACAGAGCTGTAGATGGTTTTGAACTGCTGACCATGCAGATTGCAGTGTATTGAGTAACCACTACACAACCAGGGCTCAGCAGTTGGAAAATATGGCCAATTGATAAAAATTATGCTGGAGATCACATGATAGAATTTTGCAAGTTCACTGACTTACTCAATAAAAATACCTATTTCTGACATGAATGGAAAATTTTCATACATGTGGACATGAAAGATGGAATACACAAGAATCAAATTACCGTAATCTGCGTAAAGAGACTACAGAGAAACTCAGTGTCATCGATCAGAAAAAGGTTTGTGGCCAACCCCAAAACAGATCATCAATTGCTCATCACTTGCAAGTTCAAGTTGAAGCTGAAAAATGTTAAAACAAGTACACAAGAGACAAAAAATGACCTTGAATATCTATATTCCACCTGGATTTAAACATCATCCCATGAATAGATTTGACATCAAAAACATCATATGGAAGAAAGTGAAAAATCAATAAAAAAGAAAGAGAAGAAAGATAATCCCAAGATATATGTTAGAAGAGACTCTGAAATTTGCTTTTGAATGTAAATTAGTTAAAAACAGGAAATTTCCAATAGTACCTCTAAAGTCAAGGCAAAGTATTGTAATGTAAAGTATTAGTGTACAAAGATGCATCTGGCTGCCAGGCCTGATGATTCTAAGAGATTCATATCTGTTCCCATTCCAAAGAAGAGTGATCCCGAGGTGTCAATGGATCACGTATCAGGAGACAAAACAAACAAACAATCACACTGATGCGAACCAGGAGGGTTGGAGTGGAGACCCAAAGCCCCATTGTAGACAATTGGACAGCGCCTCACAGAGGGTCACAAGGAAGGAATGAGTCAGCCAGGGTGCAGTATTGCATCATGAAACACACAACATTCCTCTAGTTCTTTAATGTTTTCTCCCCCCACTGCTGACCCCATCATGACCCAGGTCAACCTTACAAATCTGACTAGACCGGAGTATGTACACTGGTACAGATAAGAGCCCTCAACACATGCAATTCAGGACAGAAACCCTCAGGAACAGTAATGGGAGTAGCAATACCATGAGGGTAGGGAGAAAGTGGAGGGAGAAGAGGGAGAAATGGGGAACTAATCTTAATGATCAACATATAACACACACACATACCCAGGGATGAACAACAGAAACATTGGTGGTGTGAGACAGCGGACAGTGTTAAGATATGAAAATAACAATAATTTATAATTTATTAAGGGTTCACCAGGGCAAGAAGGTGTGGGAGGGAGGGGAAAAAAAGGAGCTGATACCAAGGGCTCAGGTAGAAAGAAAATGCTTTGAAAATGATGATGGCAATTTATGTACAAATGGGATTGATATAATAGATGTATGGATTATTATAAGAGCTGTAAGAGCCCTCAATAAAATTATTTTTTAATTGAGAAAATCTAATTGAAAAAACAAAACAAGATCTCTACCCTTTCCTAGATGCGGATTCTGCTTCCCTAGTTGTTCCTCTGTCCATGATCCCGTCCGCTCACCACACCCTTCTCCCCACCTCCTTCTTCCCCCACTACCTTCCAGGGCCATTGGCCCCAGTGCCTTTTCCCTGGGCTTCCCTCCCATGATTCAACCCATATAATTAGGCAAACCATCCATGTCTTAGTCTGAACAATAAGAAAACATATGGTTGAAGAAAGAAAATGATGAGAGAAAGAAAGAAAAAGGAAAAAATAAAACCCTTCATAGGTCCAGATCTGTTTGCTGGTTCTCATGAGACCGTCCAGGGGCTGCCCCTCCTAGCTCAAAGTCCATTCTTGGGGCTCCTCAGGGGCTAGAGCAACACCAAGCCAGTGGAGAGGAAGCACTAAGAGGGGGAAGAAGGGGGAAAGGGATGGTGGGGCAGGAGGAGGCAAAAGGAAACAGAGCTCTAGGAAGCAAAGGCATGGATAGGGAGATTAACAGAGGTGTGCACTTATATAAATATGCAAATCCATAACAATAGCGGTATTGGGCCTATGTACATATATTTATAAGGAAATACACTGAAGCTGCAGAAGGGCCTGGGGCCTTGGCTCATACCTTCTCTCAAAACAAGAATGCTTCATTCTAACAAATTGGCATTCTGTGATGCTCACACATCCCCTCCCTACACATTGCTGAAGACAAATGGGTGCATAAGCAGACGTGGTGAAGACAGAGGATGATGCCTGGCTATGAAAAGATATAGTGTCTGGGATCTTAAAGGCTTGAAGTTAAACAAGTGGCCATCCAACAGTGAAGCATCAAGCCCACATGGAAGAAGCACACCAGCCGGTGTGATTGTGAGGTGTCATCAAGACTGGGCAACAGGCATCAGAAGACCCACAATAAACAGTAAACAAACAAGCAAAAAGGCATTGGTGAGAATGAACGGGGGTTGGAGCGGAGATCCAAAGCCCATCTTTGAACAATGGAACACCTCCCCACAGAGGGGTCGCAGGGAGGGGTTGGGTCAATCAGGGTGCAGTGGAGCACTAATGGGTCACACAATATACGTCTGATCCCTTGAGGCCGCCTCACCCCACAACCCCACCCCGTTTTCATGACCCCAGTGCTGCTTCCCAATATAGACTTGATAAGGGCATGTCCATAGGTTTAGGCAAGAGATAAAACTCACAACACATGGAACCCAGGAAGAGGAGTGGGAATAGAGATAATAAAAGGGTAGGGGGAGGGGGGGAAGGGGGAAAAGTGGAGATGGAGGGGGCCACCGATCACAATGAATGATACGTAATCACACACCCCTATCCAGGGGCAAGAACAACAGAAACCAGAGAGGAAGGGAGACAGCAGTCATTGTGAGATTTGAAAATAATTAACAATCTATAATCTATCAATTGGCCACGAGGGTTGGTGGGCAGGGAGGAGGGAGGAGGGAGGGGGAAAAAGAGGAGCTGATCCCAAGGGCTCAATGGAAAGTAAATGTCCAAAAAAGAATGATGGAATATATGTGTCAGATACAATTGATGCATGGATTGTAACAAGAGTTATAAGACCCCCCCAAAATAATTACTAAAAAAAAGAAAGAAAAATAACAACAAAACCAAAAAAACAAAGAGTGGTCCAATGGAATATGAATATTATCAAATAATATCATTAATATAACAACCAAGTAAAATTTTGTTGAAAATAATTTTTTAAATGGT